GACTCTCCAGTTCAGCATAGTCTTTTATCAATAATAAAAGCCAGGGAGCTTCCTTCTACAGTCAGTTGCTTGGACTTGCCTTGTCCTGAAGTAGGGGGAGCACTTAAGATGGAAATGAATGGTGTCAACGAGAATGCCTGGTGGACGGTGCCTGAAAACTTTGAGGCCCCCTCTGTGGTAGACATAGATGGGAGCCAGGAGGAGCTCATATTTGGCCAAGAAGACTTGCACCTCAGAAGTATAGAGGAAAATAGCAACACCCTCATTCAGCTGGAGGGGTGGTTTACGGCATCAGGCCAGACTCGAGTAACTGTAGTTGGACCATTCAGAGCAAAGCAGTGGTTGATGGATATGATTTGGAGTGTGGGAAGCCAGGAACCTAACCACCAGGCCCGAGGCCAAGAGATGTTGCAGCGAGTTCGAAGCCAGCCTCTGACAAGAGAGGATTTGGATGCCTCTTTCAGAGTGAGGTCATATATCTGGGGCCTATCTCGACCTACCAGGATGAGCGGGACCACTTAAGACTGCTCTCCCATGGGAGAATTTTCACCAATGTTTGATGAAAGCACGGAGGATACTAAAGGGACTCCAGTTGGTGCACTAGCTATCCATATGTCTGAGGGAAGTCTTCTTTCTAAGCGTAAGACAGTGATGTGATGTGAGGGCAAACATCTAATAAATAAGTTACCTCCCATGAAAAAAAAAAAAAAAGACAGGAGATTGACACTCAAACAAGTGGTAGCCATCGAAGCCCATACTCAGCTCTCAGAAGCTCCATCTGAGATATCCTCACCATCCAAGTCAGACAGATTAGACGACAGCTAGTCTGCTTCATCGTTGTAAGGCCCTCCTTAATTATGTGAGAAGAGACCTCCATGACACAAACTCACAAGGGAATTGATTTCTGACACTGATCTTCAATGGCCAGATCACAACGATCAAGTTGTTGGATAGCTCAGCTACCAACCAAGAACTTGCAAACTCATGTGAACATGCCAATACACTTGAAGGGAGTAGGAAATGCTTGCTGGAGGCAAATTGATGCTTGTTCAACAGGCACCTTACAGCCAAATTGAAGATGGCTCAGCACAATTAACCTGGCTGGCAACTGCAATTAATTTCAATCTCACACCTCCTGAGAGTGAAAATGCTGAAATTCCACTCGGGAGCCTTGCTTGAAAGGCTGTTACAGCAGAAACATAGTAAGGAGAAAGGCATGGCACAACAGAACACATGGCCACCAAAACAAACAAGCTGAAGAAAGGAACCTCTAGTCCTTAGCTCTCAGGAAAATAAGCAAACCAGCTTGCAACTAAATACAGTAAAATGCATGACAATTAGATGTCATCCAAATTTCAAAGATTTGGCCAGTCTGGTCAATATGATGTTCCTGTTTTGCTGAGAAATATTCCTACCTTTGAGGAGATATTAACACCGGTGGCTCATAGTAGTAACATAGGCTTGAAACACAACACCCTATTTCCTCCTGTCAGATACAATTCAGAAGGTACTCTGAATCAGCAGAGGAGGAAGTGAAAGTTGAGCCACCAGAGTCTCTACCTTCATGCCAGTTCAAGACAATGCAGCAGGCAGGCATTTGCAGACCTGGCAGCTCGATCTCAGGTAGAGCCCAGGTTGAACATCAGTGAGAAAGCTCATCCTCTGCCACAGCCTTCCCCTCCATCTAACCAGTGTGCTAACATGTCTGGTGCTGATAAAACAGTTTCACCTAGGCGCTCAAAAGAACCTGGTGCAACAGATACAACCACTGTTGCCTGGTACCACTCCTGACACACCCTTTCCAGAGCTATTGACACATTCTTCTTCCTGAGCATGGACAATTCCAATGGCATTTAGTGGGGATTGCAAAGTGGGAACTTCAAACACCAAGCAATGGTCCACATGGGGACTGTGTCACACCGTGCACAGGCAGATTTGAATGAGACCATCAGCAACTGCCTTAGGGAACCTGCAACATTGCCGCTACCTGGACCGAATGAAGACAAGGACTCTGACTTAGAAGGACCCCTCCACACACACACCGTGACTTTAAAGGTGAGTGCGCATTTCTGTGGCATCCCCACCATGACTAAGTCTGAGTATTGGGCATAAGCCTGGATATTTACTTAAAAGCAGAGATATCTGACTGCTTGAGCGGCTTGAGTCTATCCGACCTTGTTCCAAGTGGAAAGCAGTCTTATATAAACTTACAGCACAGTGGAGAAACCCCAGGTGTAATTGATGCCAGTGGGCAAGGCCATGGCTGTAAGCCAGGACTAGAACACAGGATGCACCTGGTTATGGGCTCGCACCAAACTGAGTCCGATAGGGGGCTGGGGCCCAAATTCTCCCCCTTTTTAAATACGAATTAGTGTTTATCTTAGGTGACCAGGATGGTGATGCCAACCTTACCAGTCAAAGGAGAAATCGCCCAGGCTGCATGACTGTCCTGTCTTAGGTTGGCTGGGATCCTCTTGGTGTCCCCCATCATTAGCTGCCTAATTGTTGTAGGCTCAACTATAGTTGAGCTGAAGGATTCTTAGTGTTCTCATAAGCTACTTCTGTAATAATCAAACGTTCAACACCTGTATCTGTCATTATCCTGGATGATGCCTGCATTAGCCAGGAGACTAAATTCTGACAAAACTTCTCTGGTCCTTGCCTACTCTTTATAATGCCTTTGGTCAAGTCCCAGTGGCTGGAAGCTTGTTCCAAGTTCTCTTAGCAGTGTAAATGCAGATAGCTATGAGATGGCAGCTTCGCCAAACTGTTGATCTACATCTTTGTATTGCCCTTCCTGGATAGGAGCTCATGAGAAACAGGAATTTTTTAGGCTCTATTCTTCTCAGCTGTGATCTCCCTCTCATCTGCAAATTAAGCCTTTTCTCTGATCTGAGGAAACCTGCAAATTTCTAATCTCCTGTGAGAGTGATTCCACTAAATGTTTCAAAGCCTCATAGCTATTCCTGAATTTTACAATTGGGTTTTGTCTCTCTGTGTTACCAGTTAAAACAGAGGGAGGGGAAGAGACATTGTAAGTTTTCACACTCATCCCAATCACTCTGCCTGGTCTATTCTTTTTCATCCAGCAGATCCTCAGTAGGCACACAAGTCTTTTGTCTCTATTACATTGATAACTGTTTCAGAAGCAGATATTTCCTGCTGTGCTGTGGGTATGCACAGTTGTACCATTCATTTCCTCAGCTACAGCTCAGCTCGGATATATCTGCCTTGCTGGCTTCTGTGAACGAAGGAACCTTTCAAAGCTTTTAAACTCTAAAGTCTTC